AATAAGAGAGGATGGGTAATCAATCAGAGTCACTCAGAGGGTCTTTGGCTACTACCTTTGAACAATGACCGGAAATGAAGAATGGAAAGAAGTGGAATAAGCAAAGATACGAGAAGATCTCAAAGATTGGACATTCGAGAAATGTCGGCAGAGGTAAACAAAAGCGGCCGCTCGCTGTCGGCTATAGTGACCGCACAGAGACACTGCTTTGCCTGTCTATTGCCACCTCGGCGTCCCCCATGTGGAGTTTGTTTTGGTCTCCGAGGAGAAGAATCTCTTTCTGGAGTTTCGCAGAATGCACTCCACAGTGCGGTAAGTTTGCTTTATGAAATTTTTGCAAGTAAGCTAATCGGCCATTCTGTAGACTGTTTCTCCTCAGGCGATCCCTCCTGGTGAGAGGCCTTCAGCTGCACCGATTCCTCAACCACCGAAGACCACCACCAGCTCCTGGTTCTTGTGTCCCTCTACAAGCGAGGACCATCAGCTCGCGAATCTACGACCAGCTGACCTTCAAGGGACTCCTCTGCTCCAGCTTTCCCGACAAGTGAGCGCCCACTGTTCTGTTGTTTTGCTGCTGATTCTAATCTCGTAATCCCCTCTCTTCCAGTGTGGACGTCAACAAGCTGCTCTCCTCGAAGGCGACCATCTACGCGGGCTTCGACCCGACCGCGCCCTCCCTCCACCTGGGCAACCTGCTGGTGCTGGTCAGCCTGCTGCACCTGCTCCACCACGGCCACCGGGTGATCGTGCTGATCGGCGACGCCACCGCCCAGATCGGCGACCCCTCCGGCCGGGCCACCGAGCGGCCACCCATCGAGGCCGACGTGGTGCGGGCGAACGCCGACGGGCTCGAGGCGGACGTCAGACGGGTGCTGGCCAACTACCAGCAGCACTTTGCCACCCACCGCATTCCCCCGGAGAACATCATGTGAGTGGTGGTGAAGGGATGTGATTTCTATTTCATCGGTCTAATGATGATCACCTCGTTCCCTGTTTTAGAATCACCCGCAACGGCAGCTGGTACTCCCAGCTGACCGCCATCGAGCTGCTCTCCCACTACGGCCGCCACCTGCGCATGGGCCACCTGCTCTCGAAGAGCTCCGTCCGCGAGCGCCTCGACTCGCCACAGGGCCTCAGCTTCGGCGAGTTCAGCTACCAGCTGCTGCAGGCGTACGACTGGCTGCACCTCTTCCGCACCTACGGCTGTCGCTTCCAGCTGGGCGGCCTCGACCAGACCGTCAACATCCACAACGGACACGACCTGATCAAGAAGTGCCAGGGCGACTACGCCACCTACGGCCTCTTTGCCCCGCTCATCACCGACGAGGGCGGGCGGAAGATTGGCAAGAGTGATGGTAGTGGTAGTGGGGGCGTTGTGTACCTCAGTCCGCAGCAGTCCACCCCATTCGCCCTGTACCAGTACTGCATGCGCCGGACGGACGGCGAGGTCGGCCGCCTCCTCCANGGTGGGGGCGTTGTTTACCTCAGTCCCCAGCAGTCCACCCCATTCGCCCTCTACCAGTACTGCATGCGCCGGACGGACGCCGAGGTCGGCCGCCTCCTCCAGGCCTTCTCCTTCCGCCCGGAGCGGGAGCTGGAGACCCTCCTCCAGGCACAGCTCACCTCGCCCACGCCCTGGCGCCTCCAGAAGCTCCTTGCCCAGCAGCTGACCACGCTGGTGCACGGCCAGGAGGGCCTCGCCACCGCCACACGCATCACCGACGCCTTCTTCACCCGTGACCTCGCCCTCCTCGGCGCCCTCTCCCCCGCCGAACTGGCCGAGGTCTTCTCCGGCGCCGAGGAGTACTCCCTCGAGTTCGTGCCCGGCGGCCACCACCTCACCGCCCTCGACCTGGCCCTGCGCACCCGCTGCTTCGACTCGCCGCTGGCCGCCGTGAACACCATCGAGGAGGGCGGCTTCTACCTGAACTACGTCCGGGTGGACCGGCCCTCGCTGCCGCTCACCGAGCAGCACATCCTCCCCAACCACATCACCATCGTCAGCGTCGGCAAGAAGAGCCACCGACTGGTCCGATGGCTCTAGGGGTGTGCCCTTTGCTTGCTTGCTGTACATGTTTCTTTCACTCTTTGCCTAGCAGTAGTAAACTGGTGGAGTTTATTGGAGAAAAAGCAGTATATGTTCAAGTGCGTGAATAAGAGATGAGAAAGAAAAGGAAAAGGGCAGAGAGTAAGTTTGGGATTGCCCAAGAGAAGAGAAAAAAGAGTATGGTACAGAATGGGTGAATGATTATGTGAGTGGGTGAATGGGTGTGTGAATGTGTGACCTCCCCCGGTCAGACGAGCTGTCCTCGCTGATTTCCATTCTTCTCCCTGATGCGTCCTCGACGACCACCGCCACCACCACCACCGCCTCCCTCCGAGTCCTCGTCCTCCTCATTCATCTCATCGTAGTTGACGTTCTTCTTCGCCGCCCGCGACGGTCTGCTCTCTCCGCTGCTGTGGCTTCCACTGCCTCCTCCCGCCGAACTGGAGCTGGCCGCCCTGCTTCGCTGTGATCCACCACTCGGTCCACCAATGGAAAGTGGTGCAGTGGTGGCACTGGCTCGTCGTGATCGTCGACGGCCATCGGCGGCCGCGTTCTCCTTATCTGTTCCGCCGCCGTCCTCCTCGATGGTCGCGTCAGAGTCGCAGGCGACGGCTGAATCTCGAGCCTCCTCCTCTTCCTCTTCGTCGCCCTCCTCTTCCTCGTCCTCGTGGTCCTCTTCCTCCTCTTCCTCGTCATCGTCGTCCTCCTCGTCGTCTTTGGCGGTGCCTTCCGCCTCCTCCTCATCTGAGTTGATGCGAGCAGCTTTTTCGCGGTCACCATCGTCTTCCTCCTCCTCTTCCTCTTCATCATCGCTCGATGCTAAAATCGCTGGTCGTCGCACTATCCTCCCNGCGATGGCTCTAGGGCTCTTTTCTTGCTTACTGTACATTTCCTTCACTCTTTGCTTAGTAGTAAACTGGTGGAGTTTATTGGGGGAAAAAGCAATATATGTTCAAGTGTTCAAATAAGAGGGGTGAGAAAGAAAAGAAAAAGGGCCGAGAGTATAGCCCAAGAAAGAGGGGGAAAGAAAAAAAAAGAGTATGGTACAGAATGGGTGAATGATCATGTGAATGGGTGTGTGAATGGGTGTGTGAATGTGACCTCCCCGATCAGACGAGCTGTCCTCGCTGATTTCCATTCTTCTCCCTGATGCGCCCTCGACGACCGCCACCGCCACCACCGCCTCCTCCCTCTGAGTCCTCGTCGTCTTCATTCATCTCATCGTAGTTGACGTTCTTCTTCGCCGCCCGCGAGGGTCTGCTCTCTCCGCTGCTGTGACTTCCGCTGCCTCCTCCCGCCGAACTGGAGCTGGCCGCCCTGCTTCGCTGTGACCCACTCGGTCCACCACCAATGGAAAGTGGTGCAGTGGTGGCACT